CTTATTTTCGGGGAAACAGGTAGTAGAAATCAAACAGCACTTAGAACAGATCACGCGATTACCTCCAAAGTTTCAACATTTATTTATTTAATTTATTTAAACCCTGTCTTTCTCCTTAAAAAGGACCCAAGGTGGCTTGCAACATTGAAAGACAATATTTAAAGCTGAAAACAGTGATTATACATTAGTTCTGAAGCATTAGAAACCATGACCTAAATCCTCTTCCCAGTCCCAACTACAGTATATCCAATTAGTCAATGGGATTTACATTCAGTTGCTGACTTGACATTTAGCAATGGTTTCAGTGGGTCTACTATAGGTGGAACTTGGCTGGGGAATTCACAGCAAGTGAAGCATGAGCTACCAATTCATATATGACATTTTCCCTAGGAAATGTATACATGCAGACAATGCTACTACTGCAAATAGACATCATTAGAAAGTGCCTCCTTCTGCCTAGGTTTGTATGAAAAGACATATTCCAAATAAATAGTGCTCCCCACACTGGTTTGTTCTGATATCCTACTTCAGCTCCCACTTCTAGCTTGGTTTATTGCTAAAACCAACAAGCTATGCACAATTTACATGTCACAAGAACAGAGAAATGGGAAGAATCCTGGATTATCCAGTACAAGCAACATATTGAAGCACGCTGCCCAGTGGCATCTGCCTGCCATGGAAACAAAGAGAATATGTTTCATTGTTACTTCTCTACTATCCTTCACATTTTTTTTTCTTTTCAAATACAGTATTGCCTTTTCAAAAGAATTAAATGCCCTTCTCCCCACCAAGTTTTAAAATCAGATCTCATTTTTCAAGATAATTCAATTCTTCTTTGCTGATTTCATTTTCTGACCCTATTAGATGCAGTTTTTACTCAAGAAACAGGGTCACCGTTCTCAAATAGTTTACTAGATTGATTCTCTTTCAACCTGCCAATGTCCCAGCATTTCACCAAACATTGCACTAAACAATTTAGCCTCTTTTAAAATAGAAATCTCTTTATATTAACTAACCGTGTAAGCTATACCGGATGGTAAAGGTTTATTTAAAAGAAGACGTATCGTTCTACTAACCAAAGCTAGCTGTATTTTTAGTTGAAGTACAGTGGTGCCCCGTATAGCGAGGTTACTAGCTGTATTTTTAGTTGAAGTATACAAAAGCACAGGTAAAGGCTATCCTATGAAGGGTATGTGCAAATAGTTCAACAATTATTACAGTTATTTAGCTTGTTAAATAATTTAAAAATTGAATTATGTTTTGCTAAACTTAAAATTAATTTCCAAATGTCAAACAGTTTCTCAATCATCCCATTGTCTTCATGCACACTGATCATATTCAGTGCTATTAGCATATTTTGTTTGTGTGTCTATAAGTAAAAAACAAAGAGTTACTTTCTTCTTTACAAAAAAGATAAAATTAAAGAAAGGGCCCGGAAGTATCAGGAGCCAAGCCTTTTCAGTATTCATATACACTCTCACTGCTATGACTCTGCTAGAGCTTTTCTCAAGAATGACACTGAAGCACGCAAGTTGAGTAACATACCGTATTTTTCCATGTATAAGACAATACTTTTGTCTAAAATCTTTAGGACAAAATTTGAGGGTTGTCTTCTACACAGAGGTAAGGGGGGAGGGATCAAAGTGCTTTGATCCCTGCTTTCACCCTCTACTTTTTTTGGAGAAAGTAGAGGGGGAAAGCACTTCCTTGCAAGGAAAATGCTTTTCCCCTCCACTTTGGTGAAAGTAGAGGGGGAAAGCACTTTCTTGCAAGGAAAATGCTTTTCCCCTCCACTTTCTTCACAAGAAAGTGACACCTGCTTTCCCCCTCCACTTTCTTGCGAAGAAAGAAATTTTGGGTTAGAAATGGGGGGTGTCTTATACATGGGGGCATCTTATACACAGATAAATACAGTAATTCAAACTTACAGTTCAATGTCACAATGCCAGAGGCAGCTTAACCAAATGATTTCCCCCCTCTCTAATATTTCAGTAGCATGTTATAAATATGCTTTAAGAATACCCTTTGTTATGTCTGTTGCCGCCTTTTAACACTTCTCTTGCAAATCGATATATAGTCTAGCAAAGCCTTCTATGGAGAAAGATGTATGGGCAAGCGATATATTGCCCTATATACTGAAAACTGCCACTATGTTGCAATATCACGTTTAAAATTAAAACTGTTAGCAACACCACGGCCTGCTACGAATTTGCCCTTTACCTACCCATCACCTATAACTCTGCCAGTACACAATTAAACCTGGATTGCTAAGGTAATATCACAGTTGCACTGCTAAGCAAATTGAAACTACATCCATTGATAACACATCAATCACTAGGGTTTTAACATATCCTATTTATACTGACAGTATAAATCTTGTCCTGGAACAGAGAGTTGCGAAGTGATGCTTTAACAAAATGCTTCCAGGCTCAGGCATTATACAAAGGCATTCCAGCACTCCTCTATATAATTTCATTTCACTTTTCCAGATACAAGGTTGCCTTGTTTTCTGTAGAGGGCTGGTCATTAATAAGATTGTGCATTTCAAAGGATATCCTGTTTTCAGGACATGTTAGCAACTAGTGTGTTTGAGGCCTTCCTATATCTTTGATGCATTCCATTACACAAGGCATAAAGTCTCTGCTGAATACTTCCAATGCTATTCTATGCATGTTTAGATGGAAGCAAATTCCACTGTGTCTTGTGGATAAATTAGGAACGCGCAGTCTAAGGGTTCAATGCTGTCTTTAGTTTAATTTCTGCTGATATTGGTGACTGTAGTTAATTGTAGAGTGTTCAGTTTGGGAGGGTTGATTTTCTTATATTTGTTGTTAACTGCCCAGTGTAGTGCACATCACTAAGTCAAGCAGTAAGTAAGTAAATAAAAAATAAATAAATGTTTCTGATGAATCAGCCCAGTTGAACACATTAGGGCTTCTATAGGGTTGT